GCCCTCGGCAGCTTTTACCCTAGAGGAGGGGAGCTCCGGCCTTGCAAAGCTGCTGCTTTTTCCTCTGTAGCAACGTGGAGCTGCGTGTTTCTCCCCTCGTCCCTTTGCTGAGTGCTCTGCTGTGCCTCAAAGCGGGGAACAAATAGGGTATTTGTTTCTGGCCTGCCCGCTGGCTCCCGGGTGGTTTGTTGCGGCACTGGGATGTGTTTTTGGGGAGCTCCGCTCTCTCCTGGAGTTAAGGCGGTGTCGGGGATAAGTGCTGCAGCGGGCGATTCTGCTTCTGCCACGTTGTGTGGGTTCGTGTGTCTGGTTGGAACACGTGTGGCCTCACGTCCCTGCCGAGGGGGTGGTGTTTGGTAGAACTGCTGGGCAGCGGCTCCGTTCCTGTAGCACGTGGCCTGTGGCAGTTTTAAAGAGAAAACTCATGGGGGTTGTAATTGCAGGGCAGAGCCAGGGATATATCTCATCTGGGACCCTGAAACCTGCTGCCATAGTCATTAAAAAGAAGAAAAAAAAAACTTATTTAGTTGAGATCACCTCTGCAACTGCTGTCCCTAGGGAGAAGGAGTGTAGCACAGTCTATCTGTAATTAGATTCTCTTAGTTCCTCAGGGAGCTTTTGAAGCTCCAAATTCCTCTTGCCGAGTTTGGCACAGACAGACCCGCAGTGTCGCTGAGCCCTGAGGCCATAGGAAAGGGCTGAGCGTAGCTTGTCGGCTGGAAGATGCTGACAGCTCTTGAGAGTCTTGTTAGTGAGCTAGATAGTGCTGAAGGCGTGGAAGGAAATGACTCACATACTGTTCTTGCAGCTGCACGGTAGCTGCAGAAGCAGCTCCTTGTAGTCCCCACTGACCCGTTTAACGCGCTCTGTGTTGCAGGATGTGATCCGGGTATCTAAGAAATACCTCCCAGGGATGGCAGTGGGCTATTCAAGTGCTAAGCTGACCTTGCACGTGGGAGATGGTTTTGAGTTCATGAAACAAAATCAAGAAGCCTTTGATGTAATTATCACGGACTCGTCTGACCCCATGGGTAAGATTTCTGGCTGTGAGAGGCTACTGCTTTCTATGCATTTCCTCCTCTGCTCTGCTGATTCTCTTCGGGAAGTAACACCAGCCTGTCAGGTCTCCTTTAAAGTCACTGACTTAGTTCTTCTTGTAGAGAAAGGGAAGGATGATGGCCAAGAAATTGTATTAGCAAGGCTTCAACCAGCTGTCTGTCACGGTTCTTTCCTCAGAACCCCATTGCAGCAGCTATTGCTTCTGGCAGTGAGTTGATCCTTGAATCCAAGGCTTGCCCAGGGGATGCTGAGGCACGCTGGCAGCTTGGCACGTGTGCTCATTAACGAAGCGCTGGCTCCCGTGCCGTAGGTGCAGCTACCTAGTCTGGAGATGGCTGTAGCGAGGTCGCTGCGCTTCTGAAGAACTGAAGCAGAGGGACTAAATTTAGCTACGCTGCCTCATTTCAGAGCTCTGACATTGGATGCTTGAGTCAGCTTCCCTTTTGCTATAGTCAACACAGAGAAAAAGCATCTCTGAAGGGTAATTCAGGGAGGGAGTGCAGTAGGTACAAACATTACTGAGGCAAGTGCCAACAGCAGGACTTTCCTTGGGAAAGGTGCTGGGCTCACTAATGAGGTGTGGGCTGAATCCCAGGCTCAAAACTCACCTTCTAGATTATCTCCATCACCAAAAAGCCATTTGAGATCTCTCTTCCAGTACAATCCTCAGTAGACTGGAGAGAGCGCCGAGGTTATCCTCACTGGTCTGTGGCTGGAAACGGATCTTTGCACTGTCAGCAGCCACAGTGCTGAAGCCTGGACACTCAGAAAGACTTCTGGGGACCTGTCTTAGACTCTCTGCTGACATCTCTGTCTATTCCCTTTTCTCCCAGGTCCTGCAGAAAGTTTATTCAAAGAATCCTACTATCAGCTGATGAAGACAGCTCTGCGAGAAGATGGGATTCTCTGCTGCCAAGGTGAGGATGCCGTCGTCCCCGGGCGACGCTGGTGGCAGATCACTGCACACAAAGCATGAGGCTCAGAGGGAACCGTTTTCACGGGGAGACGTGACCCAGTGAGCGAAATCCAGTTCAGCTTCCAAGTGCCGTAGTATTTTTGATCTGTGCTTGTCATCCTGTTAACTCTGCTGGACTACACTTTGCATGAATGTGGTATCTTTTATCTCCACTCGCCTCTGAACTCACATGAGTTGTTCAGAGTAGGGCAGGTTGGGACTTGGACCTTCTGTTAACCTGGCACAGACCTGTGCAGAGCAGGGGGCAGCTCTCACCTTGCATCCTATCTCCCTGCCTCCTTGTAGGTGAGTGCCAGTGGCTGCACCTGGATCTCATTAAGGAGATGCGTCAGTTCTGCAAGTCCCTGTTCCCCGTGGTGGAATATGCCTATTGCACCATCCCCACGTATCCCAGCGGGCAGATTGGCTTCATGCTGTGCAGCAAGAACCCGGTGAGTTTCAGACACCCAAAGTGCTGATTTTTATTCCCTGGAAGGTACCCCCAGGGCTTTATTCTAGTACCCAGATCTCCAAGTGTTGCTCAGTTTGAGCACGTGGGCTGCTCACAGTGGAAAGATCCGTTTCCAGCCCCCGAGCAGTGAGGTCAGCCTCGGCGCTCTCCCCACGCTGCTGCCTTGCAGTCTGATCTGCTTGTCTGGGGTCCTGGCAGCGGGTCCTGGGCCTCACAGCGCTCGGGTGGGTTCTGCTCTGAGGTGCAAAGACCTTGCTTGATAGATGCTTGGGCAGAATATGAAAGCTTCAGCTGGCACTGCTCACACGCAGCCTGTCCTTGTGTGTGGACCTCCATGAGAACGGGGCAGTCACCCTAGGCAGGGAGTGTGAACTCAGGCTCAAGCTGTGCAAAACTTGTGAGCTTGCACTAGAAAAGAAGATCACCCATTTTCCTCGGAGTCCTCTTGGTTCTTCGCCATGGATTGGGATGCCCATCCGGCAGCCCTCTGCTCGTTACCCAAGTGTTCCAAGGCTACTTGGCTTCTCTGTTGCAGAACACAAATTTCCGGGAACCTGTGCAGCAGCTCTCCCAGCAGCAAGTGGAGGAGAGGAGTCTGAAATACTACAACTCTGACATCCATCGAGCAGCTTTCATCCTGCCGGAGTTTGCACGGAAGGTAAGGCAGGCTGTGCTGCTGCTGTTCCTTGGCTAGGACTGTGCAAGGCTGAGGATTTCCTACAGCCCTAAAGGCTTCTGCAGGCAAGTCAAAGCAGGACAGCATTTTGTATGATGCAGCAGAGTATGAATCACACTGGGAAGACTGCAGTTCAGTTTGCAGCTTCCTTTTGGGCTGGTGTCCTGTGGCGTGCTGACAGATCACTCCTACCTCTGTAACCAAAAAAAAAGCCTAAGAACCTGCAGAATTGGTGTTTCCCACTGGAAAGCTCTGAAAGTCTTTGGTAAAACTGGGTTGTGGTTTCTGGTGCCAACCAGGGGTTAAGGAAAGGATGCTCTGGTGTAGTTCTGTCTACCTTCTCGAAGGACAGTCTGTATTTCTGTATCATTTCTTCTTCTCCTAGCTGGGCTCCAACTTGGAGGTTCCAGAAAAGAGAGGGCTGCTCAGAGTGTCCTAGGGATGAGGCTGCTGTGGAAGCCAGGCCTCTGCTGAGGACTGGTAGAGTTGTGGCAGGTCCCTCCTCACCCTTCTGTTCTTTGGCTGTCTCCAGGCCCTGAGTGATGTGTGAGCCTTGGGAAGCTGCCTTCTCTCTTCAAGTTGGACCCTGAGATCATCAGTGATGTGGTGGGGACCTTCCCAGCAGACTGCAGCCTTGCTCCCCACTGTGCGGGATTGTTTAACCCTTTGCCAGCCAACATTCCTTTTGGTGATGTGTGAAAGATGATGGGGCAAAAGCCACGTAAGACTATTGAAAAGCTCCAGTGACTTATAGCGTGGGGTCAAAGCTATTCTTTCCAGTGCTGGAAACGTAAGATGTCTCTTCTTCCTTTCTCCTCCCCTCCCTACACTCCTATGTCCCCTCTCTCTCTCCCTCCTCCCCGCACCCGACATGGCGCATTTTCCAGTGACGCGTCATTGAGCCCTCCCGTGACGCCCGCGCCGCGCCGCCGGAGGAGCCGCGGCCGCGCACAGCTCTCCTTCCAGCCCTGAGGGAGCAGCAGTATTAAACACCGCCGGGCAGGCTGGCAGCAAAGTTCTGTGGCTTTTATTATTTTTTTTTCTTTCAATTGTTTGGAAACAGAAGTGCTGAGGTACTAACAGGCTGACTCCTGTTCTTACCCCTGCCATCAGAGTGGTTCCAAAGAATGTTTATTGATATGGTGATAGGCGCTTTATATATATAAGTATAAATATATATATATATAAACAAACTTAGACCGTTGCCTGCTGTACAGTACTGATGAAGGGGAATCTGTTGCTCTGGCAAGTGATCTCAATCATGCTGAGATGCCTCAGCCTGGGTATCTGCTAGGCCTTAAGAGGCATCGTTATTTCCAGTGCTGCCCCCAGCTGCGTCCGTTGTCTTTCATTGTACCCTGCTGTGAGAAGGATCTGCCTCCACCTCTTCACTTTTGTTTTGAAGACTCTGCCACCACTGTGCAGTGGGAGCCTTCCCAGCGCAACCGCTGTGCAGTTATCACTCCCTTGCAATCAATTAAACACTCAGCTGTGGTTATGGTGTCATCAGTGTGGGCCAGTGCCCTGCTCTGGGGAGAGAAGGGAGTGAAATGGAGATCCTGAATGTCTGCTGTGCTTGTCAGAAGACATCCAGGGGCACACTCAGGTCGTCTGACTTCCCCTCTCCCTTATCTGTAGGGATGACAAATATCATCAAAAATAAACTCTGAAGAGTGATCCACGTTCTTGCGCTGTGTTGAACTTTACTGTGTAACAAACAGCTCTGGGTTCTGTCATCCTCTACACTGAAGAAATCAGAATCCTCTATCCCAGCTCTTCTCTAGTCCACACTGCTTCTGGTCTGGCTTTCCAAGCTATTCTCTAGCTGCCCGTCTCCTTGCAAGCATCAGTTGGGTCCTGTCAATCATTGGTCCCGCTCAGTTGCACCATCTTTTTCTCTAAAAAAAGCTGCTTTGGCGAAGGGGCTGTGTGGGCCGAGCCTTGCACCCTGTTCCCAGCTGCTGAACAGACTGGGAACAGGCACTAGGTGGCATCAGGAGAAGCCAAAAAAAAAAAAAAAGCTGGTTATTCTGAGAGAGGTTTTTTAGTTTGTTAGGAGCGAACAAGAAGGAGCAGAGTTTTGCCATGCCTGGGGTTGAGCTTTGCCATAACTGACCACATAAACCATATAGTTGATGTGGCCACGGAGTGCCTTCAGCAAGGGAATTCCTTAGTGACAGTTTTCCCTCCTCCTTTCTCCCCTTTCTGATGAGACTTACTACTTCACTTTCCCGATTTCCCCTTTTGCCACTAGTACCAGAACAGCTCCTTTGTGGTCTAAATAAGCTTTGTGGTTCATTATTGCAAATAAGTTGCAGAGCTGAATCTGGATCTCCATTATATTCTTGTGTGGATAATGTTTAACCAAGATTGCATTCATCTTGCCTCTTAATTGTCTGGGATAACTGTTTCCTTCCCTTTCTCCCACAGCTCCTGATCAGTTAAACCTGTCCTTCTGCACAGGGCTATTTCTGCATTTATACTGCTTAAGCCTTAATAAAGAACCGACCAGAACTGTAGGCTGGTTCTAGCTACTTCTGTTTAAATTGCTGTGGAGCTGAGCCCCATTCAGCCCTTCATCCTTGACAAAATACCTTCTCCTCTCTGCTGCAACAGGAGTCATGGCCAGGGCTGTATTCCAGGAAGGCCTTAGAGCAGCTGCCAACTAGTAACAAATTCAAGGCTTTTACCCACCCTGCGTGAGTACAAGAGTGCCCAGGAGGGAGAGCTCTCCATCCGTTGTGTTAGTAACCTCTGGGCAGCCAGCTCTTCCTTCTGCTTCCCTGAGCTCTCTCCAAAGCTGTGAATGAGTGGCCCAGGCAACTGGCCAGTGAAAAGAGCAGGAAGACAAGGCTGTTTGCCATCCAAATTGCAGCTGATCTATCCACAGGGCCCTACATATAATTGCAGAGAAATTCCAAATTGCTGTTCCAAATGCTTCAGTGCCTTGCAAGAGAGGAAGGTACTGATCAGTGCCTGAATCAAGCACTCATTAACATTGCAGGAAAAGTGGGAACAAGAGTTTGTGCATCTATAGCTGGTTCCATCTGAGCAGCTCCAGGGCACTTCTTTGACTGTTGAAAGTCACCCCTGTGCTGAGAGCTGCCACGAGCTCTACGTGCTGTTTAAGCTGCTAGAGCAGGATTTGGCAGTCGGCTGCCAGGCAGTTGTGTGTCTGCAGGTTGATTACCCCCTCCGCAGATGTACGAGGTGGGAGCTGTTGCGCTGTGGGATGCTGGGGCACAGGAAGCCTGGGTTGCAGAAGAGCCTGGCAATTTGGGTTATGCCCAACAGGAGAAAACTCCTTGACCTCATACATAATTGAGCCCTGAACACTCAGAAGCAATCTCTGCAGCGTCTCTAGGTAGACAGCTAAAATACTTCAGTCACTCTCTCACTCTTTTGGAGTTTTTGCTGGCTTTTACCCAAGGCTAGTCATGCCGAGCTGTTTATGAGCAAAGATCTACGGAGATGCTGTTTGTGCCGATGTGTTGCAGCACCTCGCTGAGCTGAGCTGTGTGGTCAGGGACAGGCCTTGTCCCAAGGAGCTTGCAAAGCAAGAGCCATCGGAGCAGGTGGAGGCCGGAGAGGGAGCAGCGGCCTCAGCACAGCAATCACCTAAGTCTCTTGGCGCCTTTTGAACTGTGTCAGACTCCCTGCCCTTTATTCATTCAACTATTTTTTTTAGAACTTCAGAAAACAGCTTAAAAGAAAAAGAATAAAAGATAATTCTCTTGCCTGTATCTCTTGAGCCCTTACAGCCAGTTGATTGGCACATCTCATTCGTCCAGGGCTAATGTTGTCGAGACCTGGCTGAATTACTGCTGGAGCTCGGCTGGAGTACGAGCCTGCGGAAGTAAGAACGGCAGTTCCTCCGTCACCAGAGAGCAGCAGCCTCCATCAGCCAACAGCCAAAGAGCAATAACTGCTGTCAAGAGGCAAGTTCTGATACAACAGAAGGTGAAAGAAGTGGTAGAAGAGGTAAAAGACAAAACCCTGAAACAGTAGCTTCAGGTCCAAAGAAAATCTGACAGAATGTCATTAGAAAGAGATTAAGAATGAGAGAATTTACCCAAGTGCTGAGAAGACTAAGTAAAGCTCTTTTCTGGCCATGCACTGCAAGGAGTTAAATGGTTTTTAAATAAGCAAAAGGTGGGGAATTAGAGCCAGGGAATTGCAATTACGGAACAGCGATGTGTGTAGCAGATAGAGGCAGGGGGGATGATTATGGATGTGAAGGAGCTCAGCAGCAGGCCTTCCGAGGCCAACAGCCTGAAGGGCCTGTTGGGAAGGAGGAGAGCTGGCCCGAGCGCCAGGGCAGCGGGGGGGCTGCCTTCTCCTTGGTGCTGAGCAGCAGCCCCTGCTCCTGGCTGCAGCCTTGCCACTCTCCTTCAGGTCATCTCTGCCAGGGAATTTGCTTAACAGAGCTAATTCCATACGCCAGGAACAAGCGCAAGATGATGTATGTGGTGACCCTGCATGTGTTTTGTCCCCATTCAGTTGTAAAAGGGGAATAACAGAGGCCGCCTGTAGGAGTGTGTGACTCCCTGCCTAAGGCTCTCGGAGCCGTCTGCTCTGCAGTCTCAGTCCCATGTGTTAACGCACTGGTTGGCTCTTTCTGATCCAATTCCCACGCGGCACAGCGTACATGCAAGACCTCAGGAAGCCAAGTGGCAAAAAGCCATTTCCAGGCAAGTCTGGTCCAGGCAGCCCTGCCAGTGCAGGTCTGGCGGCCTCACCAGTACAGGTGGTCGCTTCTTATGTCAGTAAGCAGCAACACCAGTGTCACCAACGTGCTTCACAGCTTGGAATGCCTCCTGGTTGGAACCAGGCAAAATATTTTCAGTGGAAAATGGAGGTATTTTTTAAAAGGTATTTCATAGCAACTAGTCATTTTTTGAGGAGGATTTTTGGTGGAAAAACTGCAATGTGTACCTCTGCATGTATATTTAAATTCCAAAAAACTCTGAGCATAGCACTGAGGTGTAACAGTCGGCTTCCCTTCATCCTCCTCCAGCCCCTCTGGGGTGGATGGGCAGAGAAGGCAGCACAGCTCCCCCCGCTCCGTCTCCCTAGGGAGCTCCAACAGGCTCGGAGCGGGGTGTGCGCCGGAGCCGCGTCCCTCCCTCCTCCTCTCCGCTCCGAAGCTCTCGCAGGGAGGAGTGCGGAGCTGCAGCCCGCGCTGGGGCAGCCTCTTCCCTGGCTTCATTAGATCAGTGCTGATGGAAGCTGTGGCTGGGACGGCCACCTCAGAGGGCCCCGGGGAAGGCCATGCGATTGCGAAGGGAATACTGCAAGGCTGTCTTGATAGATGAGCTGTGATTTCAGGCTCATGAACAAATTGGTTTCTCTTCCAGGAAGGCTTGCCACTGACAGCTGGCTATTGCCCTATTTATTGCGTTGCCCTTTGCCATGAAGAGCCCTTAAGGGTAGAGAGAAAGGGTTTAAGCCATGGGAGAGTAAAAGCATTTGAACCCCTCCTTCAGCTGCAGTCGAGTTTCTCACCTCTGGGAACTAGACTTTGTTCTGGCAGCCTGGTGCTATTCTGCTACATGCTTCAACAAAACGTCGTGATCTGAACTCACACCAGGCAAGAAACAGGCAGACAACAGCAAACATCCAGGCCACAGAGAAAAGGAGTTGAGAAGTTACCTCATTCCTCAGTGTGGCATGTGGTGCCAGCTGTGGTGTTACTTTCATATTCTGTCACTGCTGAGAGAGTGCTGAACAGATAGATGCCCTCAGGTGAAGGCAGGCAACCCTCCCCTCAAAGACCAAACCTGTTCCCCTTCTTATTACTGTCTGCCCTCAATCACAACAAGACACTGGCTGTTTGACCTAACAGCACCAGGATATTCCGCTGTGCTCCTGAACCAACCCTGCATCTCTCTGCTGAAGCCGTGTTGCGAGCCCAAGTCCTTGCTGTCCAGCCAGGCCTTTTCACGTCACCCTCTCTGCTGAAACTTCCATCTGGAGCACGTGCTCCTTCACCAGGCTCCCACAGGCATCTTCCCGGGCATGCTGGTTGCAGACAGACCTACCCTGGTGGTAAAGGTGGCAGACACCCCTCAACTCATGTGTGCCTGGACAGAAGAGAGCATCTAGGAGGGAGACTTCTGAAGGGTGAGTCGGGTATTTGTGAGAAAGTGTTAAGCAGAAATCAAGGCAAGAATTATCAGAAGTATTTAGTGCCCCAAGAGAAGATTTTAAACTTTCTTGTGCAGTGATGAGCATTTAAGGGTTGGTAAAAACAATTAGGATCTTCTTAAAGGTCAGAGAGAC